AATCAGCAATGCGGATCACTGTCAGCCACTCGCTGACAGTCCCTTAGGTATTAGATGATCAGTTTAGGAAGGAAACACTTTAGGAATGAAACGCATAACAAAAAAATAACAGTTTTCAAATTACGCTATCTAGTTCCTATCTAGTCTTATTGTATACACGTACTGTGTATACATTACGCTATCTAGAAACACCTACGCTTCCTCATACACGTGCCCACACGTGTAAGCTAGGTAGTGAGCACTAGGCCCACTACACCTGGTAGCACTTTGTAGTCCGTCCAACGACCGACTACCTTGTTCGTATGAATTACGAACACGGACAAGAAAACCTTCCGATGGACAGGTTGTCCGTCGGAAGCCCGGGTACATCTGCTACGCATGTGGCGCGTGCAGACTGCCACCACCTGGCGGATCCAGAGTGGGAGGCGCTCCAACGACTGTCAACAGTCATTGGGGAGGCGGTCTTAGCAACAATGCTACGCACGCTATCACCGACAGAGCAACATGGTGTTGCTCTGGGATTCATCATGAGAGAGCAACGAGAGGTTGCTTCCGCAAAGCCAGTGTCTCCGGTGGAGACACCGCGGAAGGAATACCTGAAGTTACGTGTCAGTAACTACATGGGCAGAGAAGGCGAGACCCTTATCCGCTGGTTTGTCGAGCTTGACACTGCCATAGTGGCTCGACGTCTCGTCGATCCATTGGCGAAGGTCGCTTTCGCCATGTCTTGTCTTGGCGGACACGCAAGGAGTTGCGCCTACGGGTGCCGACTCACAGATCCTACGTGATTCAGCACGTACGAGATCTTCAAGGAGGAGCTCAAACTCGTGTTTGAGACCCCACGGAACGATTTCCGGTCGAGAGCAGAATTTCTCGACTTGCAACAGGGTAAGCATGATGTACATTCTTACGCCCAACGGGCTCGATACTTGGTATCGAACGTCGTGACCGACCCGATGGACGAGGCGACGAAGGTCGTCACGTTCATGAAGGGGTTGAGAGATGGGTCTGTGAAGACCTATCTCTTCCGAGTGTACCCGAGTACTCTCGAACCTGCGATTACCATAGCCATGCACGAGGAGTTTAGCCTGAGACAGGGTAAACTGCAAACGAACGTGCCACACCCGCCTCGGCCGGCTGTTAAGACGGAAGGTCCAGAACCAATGGATCTTTCGTACGCGTCTGCTGTCGGACAACAGAAGAACAAGGGCAGCGACGTGCGATGCTTCCGATGCGGAAACATGGGTCACTACGCACATGAGAGTACGGCACCAGTACACTCAAGCCAAGGTCAGCGTGGCGATACCGGGTATCGTCACGGCCAAACTAAATACGGCAAGTGGCTCGCGCCGCTGTCTCCAGTCGCAGCTCGAGGAGCGCGCGAGCTATAACGACTCCGGGAGTCGTTGACAGCAAAAGAGCGTCTGGTCAGGGACCAGACACTTCTAGAACGTTCTCCGCCGTAAGGCGTCCAGGTGACAACGGCGTGTCGACTCCAGGAGTTGATACGTGCTCCATATCAGTATCGAGAACGTTCTCCGCCGCGAGGCGTCGAGGTGACAACAGTGTGTCAGCTCTAGGAGCTGCGACACACTGCTCCGCCGCAAGGAGTAGAGGTGACTACAAATCATCGACTCCGGGAGTCGATGCGACAAGCAGTGCGGACGGTTGCAAACGTCCAGCACAAAAGCTTGCGTGCTGTCGTGCAGCCGGGCTGTACGAAGCAGGGCGCGATCAAGTCGGGCTTGATGTCGCGTGCCGCGGGTACAAGAACCCGCCGGCGGCCGCTCGCAGACCAGAACGTCTGCCGGTGATATCAAGGAACATTCGTCCATGGCCGGGCCTGGACGAAACGCAAGTGAATCCGAGATTCACAAGACGAAGCGACGGCGCAAGCACAACACGCTTCGCACGGGGCCGAAACTCTTCATGGTGTGTCTGCCGGGCAGACACAAGATTTAACAGCGGCCGTCGAGACGTTGAACGTCTTGACGCGGGCCTGTACTGGATATCAGTACAAGAAGATGGAGTTGGAGAACCCTCCGACTGATACGTCGGAGTTGATCTCGCTTCCAGTCATGAGCTGGAAGCGCTTCGCGAAAGACTTGTACGATGGACGCATCGAACAACTATGCATCCTTTCAGACCGAGAAAGAATGACAAGCGAAGCTGAAGAGTTAAGGCAACTCTTTGCAGATAGCGCCACGGAGAGTGAGGATACTCTCCGTGCCAAGACCAAAAAGGAGCGCTTCGAGGAGCAGAGTTGGGACTCGCTGAAGTCGAGTCCGAGAGCACAAGGACGTGCTCCCGGACGAGATCCCTGCGGAGCTTCCGCAGGACAAGGGAATACAGCACGAGATTGATCTCGTGCCGGGAACAAAGTATTGCGTGACGCGGCAGTGGCCACTGCGGAGACAGCAAGTGAAGGCGACCGACGACTTCTTCAAAAGTCGTCGTAAGGCAGGACAAGTGCGGGAATCAAAGTCCCCGCATAGCGCACCAACGTTCTGTGTCAAGAAGCCACAGGGGGGTTGGCGCATCCTTCAAGCGTACAACAAGCCGAACGATGCGACGATACCGGCACAGACGCCGACACCTCGGAAAGATTTTATCATCGATTCGATGTCCAAGAACACCATCTACAGTGCTCTTGATCTGAGAGGCGGCTTCTATCAGACCCTTATGCGTGAGAGCGATATCCCTCTCGTGGCGGTTAGCACTTTAAGCGGTATGCTTTGGGAGTGTCTGGTTATGCCACAAGGGCGGAAGAACGCCCCTGCGACCTTCAATAGGTGCGTGACACATCTATTGTGCTCGGTGCGCGTCTTCGTACCGAGCTACTTCGACGATGTGTACGTTCACAGCCGGGCTGTGGACGAGAAGACGGACGTCGAGGTGCACAAGGAGCATCTCCGGAAATTGCTTGGGCTCATGCGCAACCACAAGATCTATGCGAACCTGAAGAAGTGCATCTTCGGTGCGAGCGAGATACCCGTGTTAGGGTGTCTCGTGGGAAAACATGGCGTACGCCCTGACCCCGAGAAGGTCAGAGTGATCAATGAATGGCCTACATCATCCAACGTGAAGGAACTGCGGCAGTTTCTTGGCCTTGTCACGTACTTGTGCAAGTACGTGGACAACTACCCAGGCAAGATTCGCCCGCTGTCGCAGCTTCTGAAGAAGGAAGCTGCGTGGAAATGGACTGCTGATTGTCAGCAGGCGTTTGAGGCAGTCAAGCTGGGCTTGACTGAAGCGCCGATCTTGGCTGTGGCTGACCAAGATCGCCCATTTCACGTAGTGTGTGACGGATCCGACTTTGCGATCGGATGTGCATTAATGCAACTCGATCACGACGGACGTGATCGAGTCGTCTACTACCAGTCGCGTCAGATGAAGCCAGCTGAACGTAACTATCCGGTACATGACAAGGAACTCCTTGCCATGAAGTATGCACTCGCGAAGATCCGAGTCTACTTAATCGGCAACACACCGTTCGTGGTCTATAGAGACCACGTGTCGTTGCGGACGGCTGTGAAGTCTCCGCACATCTCGCAACGAATGGCGA